GGAAAAAGAAGGTCTCCACGTGGAACCGGGCAAACTGAACGAGATCAACTATCAACCGGTCTTGTGGGAACGTTTAAACACTCCGCCACATCCGTGTCGATCGAAACAGTTGGAACAGTCGACCGAGAAAGCCCGAATTATTATGGCTAACATGACCCCATCCACTGATCCGACATATGCCTATTCCTACATGGATTTGGATGTGCCATACCGCTACACCCAATCCCAATGCATTCTGTTACATCAACAATTGGATATTATGAGTAAATGTCATTGCCAGTATATTTACAATCCACGACCGGCTCATCCATTTCATCATACCCCGTATTGTGGATCAATATTCAAAGATGAAACAGATTTGCCGGAGGAACAGCGCAAGAATATTAGTTGTGTGCAAGAGATATTGGAAAGTGATCGGAAACGTGCATACGAGGCAACCGTATGCTATCCCCGATGTAATCATTATAGTTACGAAAGTACTATCTCTGTCACCACATGGCGTGCGGTGGATTGGCAATTGCATTGGTTACGTCATTTGAATCGAGCGTTTAAAAGTATGGAACAAGAACGAGACACGTCGTTCAATGAGACATGGGATCGTGTGGGAAGCAAAGGGTACCGGGATTGGTTAGAATACTTCCAAAAAGACAATTTGACAAATGTGAGTCGATATGTATTACCGTTGAAAATCACTCGTACTCTCACTGTATTTCGTTGTGTTTTGAATTGTGTTTTCTCTCTCATGCATATTTGTAATGGTTGAAGTACGCACAGATCATGAATAAGGATTCATAAGTTACGAATAACAAGTCAGGATTCGAGGATCACGGATTACGAATCACGTATTTCAAATGGGAATTCGACGTGTATATGGCAAATGAATAGTGAACTGAAAAGCTAAGAAGCTCTGGACAGCTGTTTCGACCTGGTTGGGTCTCATAACATGAAATAAGTAATCAGATTGTGAATGTTTTCAACCAAGTCATAACCGTGGATGCCAGTGCTTAGATGAGCAGGGTCTGTGGCCCGCAACAATCTCGTAAAGTGGTCCGATCAGCTACCCGGTGGCGTGCTTGCGTTCTGCTCATGAAGTCCCGGGTTCGATCCCCTCAGTTGGGTCGATGGATTCGCACTGTTGATGACACGGAAACAGGTCAAAACAGCTATCCAGTGCTTCCTAGCTTTTCAGTTCACGCTTCATTGGCCATATGCACGACCAACTCCCATTTGAAATTTAATCAAATCCTCCATTACTCACATGGAATCACGGACGCCACGGGAGCACTAAATCACAGTGTCACTTGCACAACAGTAGCTCACGTAACCCAGATGCAAGGAAAAAAACACAAAAATGGTAGTTTGTTTGTTGAAAAAACCATAGGGGTTTAAATAGCATGTACAAAGGAAATTCATTGAGTATCCGGGTATCCACCAATAGCGTGTTTGTATTCTTGACATCATACAGCTTCGGTCTGGGTTGCACGGCTTCTGACTGTTTGGCGT